CAGTGGCGTAGCGAGGGTGTTTGGCGCCCGGGGACAAGATTCGCGCCCGGGGACAAGATCCATTTTTAGCGCCCCTTTTTCTTTTTTTCAACTCTCAAACCCATTATTTTCATCAATAAAATAATATCAAAGCACATTTTGGCGCCCCTAACTAGCTGGCGCCCGGGGACACCTGTCCCCCCCCCCCCGCCACCACCACGCTACGCCTCTGCTTCTTGCCGATACGTTGGTTGTTTTGTTGCTTCCTTTTTTTTCAGGTTTTCCCATACTTTGCTTCGCTCATTAACATTTCCTTTTACTCTTAGCCACTCACACTGCCACTACGTTTGATATGGCTATTTAAGTAATGTAACCATTGTATTGTATGCAGTTGTTTGAAGAAATATAAGCTTTTATTGAAACGAGAGAATAAGTTAAAATGTTTCAATCAAATCAATCTTTAACGTTTAGTTCAAAATAAGTCCCTAGTTTGTCAAAAGCAAAGGTCATTGTCACATGACGTCATTAATTTGGTGGGTAGATAACTCCAAAAGTCTGAATTACTGCCATGGATCGTGAAAGTTAGTAGTATTATTTTAAGTAGTTAAGAAGAAGACGACAAAATATGGTAGTCACTTTTCCCCCCTGCCTTGCTATGCAGATTGGTGAACAATATTTGGCTTACCCAATGTTTCAAATACTGTAGGCCTTTAGACACTTTAGAATTTAAATAAACCGAGCGCCGGCAGGCACTAAGAGTAAGATTTAGAATTTAGGTCTAACTTAGGTCATTTAGTTTTAGTTTAATAATTAGAGAGAACTAGAGCACTATTATTTGCTATGGCTATGCTATGACTTATGACTATCATGCTGTATGGCATGGCTATGGACCATACTACTTCGACACTATAATATTACTATTATAAGTATATAACTATTATATATATTATACTATATTCTGTAAATAATATAGTGTAATTGTATAAGTATACTTTTTTTTGCCATATTCATATTCATATACTATAGTATATGAATATGGTCAATATGGTAAAAACAAGTATACTTATACAATATACAATTACACTATAGGCTATATTATTTACAGAACTATAGACTATATTATGTACACTGTTATATGGGCGCCCGCAGAAAACTTTTTTTTTGGGGGGGGGGGG